AAATGATTAAGGTATGGTCCCTGACTCAAGAAGTTTGTAATACACAATAAAAGTGACTAATTGATTTTTTTTAGAAGAAATATCCAAGAAAGAGCAGCACAACCCTAGAACCATGAGATAAAATATCCTTCTGCTGTAGGGATACTTAGAAGCTAACAGAGAAAAAAATCTCCATTTCCACTGTTAGCAGTCTCAAAAGGTGATAATTTGGAACTGTCTTGTAACTTCCTAGGAAATTCCTGACAACCCAAACACACTTCACATCTCCAATGATGTGCTTGCTGCTTCTCATCTAACCCCAAGGAAAGTAAATTCATTAAGTACTCTTAGTTGAGCACCTGCTGAGTGGGGAGGGGGGGGTGCATGTGACTCTGTCAAGCTAAATTATAGAATAGAGGAGAAACTCACAAACAAGTCTCTCCAGTCTAGAACCACTCAGGGGGAGATTTGCTGCCAATAAATCATTTTTTTTCTAAGCACATATTTGGAACGAGGCTAGTATTTCTCCCTATAGGCTGGGGCCATTGCTCCTAAGCATAGATTTGCTATTTCTAGGTTAGAGTTGAACAACCCAGTTTCACTCAACCCAATAGAGTTGAGGGCAATCAGTTCTTTGAGAACTGGCATGTTTCTCTTCAATCTGAAAGAACTAGAGTGGTTCATAGATGGGGGCATGATCACTACATAAATTCTGAAAGTCCCTTCCAGCTTGATCACTGTTGTCTCTATGGCCTGTAATGATGTAGCATTCATGGCCTTTTTCAACAGCACAGTGTTTGAAAACAATACCAATCCTTTCTCTTCTTTAAAAAAATTTTTTTGTAATTTTAACAAACATTTTCAGATGCAAAGAACAGAGAAGATTGTATAAGAACTGAACTCACTTTTTAAAAAAGATGTAGATGTAGATATATGTAGTATGATTACATATATGGTATAACCATATATACACATATATGTATACACACAAGTATGTAACCATATGGAAACAAAAATGACATGTACATACAAATAAAATACACACATGTATGTATGTAAGTACGTATGTACGTATATAAAGGTTGCTCTCTTTGATGGTGGTTTCCTGTATTCTCGCCGGGTTTATTAAAATCAGTCATTGAGCAATCCTCCTGGTTGCCTTCTTCCAAACTTTTTTGAATTTGTCAATGACGTTGCTAAAAGGTGGTGCCCTCCAATAAAAGAAGAAAAAAGAAAAAAATCAAAAACAAAACAAAATTTTTTTTTAAAAAGGTAGTATCCCAAACTAAGCACTTTGTGGCCCAGTCTATACAAGGTACAGTGATATTATTTCTTTTTTTTTTGGCATTATTTCCTTATTCATTCTGAGATTACAAAGTTGTTCAATAATTTCTTCAACTGATTTTTGTGCAGTTGATTTTTTGTACCAAATCTAAGACTTTACCATTACCTTCACTATTATTAAATTTATTAGTGTGGGATAGATGGGAAACATTTAGCTAGATGGAGAGGAGAAAGTGGGAGGGGTTGACGTTGTAGACATGAAGAACAGCCTGAGCAAAGCCATGGGAGTGATAATAAACAAAACATTTGATATCTGTAGCACAAGGAGGTTTCTAGCAGAGTGCCCTCAAGAACCTATGCTTCACCTTGTTTAATATTTTTATTAATGACTTTCAATTAGAGGTATTCAAAAATGGAATGGGTTGCTTTGTAAAACAGTGCATTCTTATATGTTTCAAGTTAACACAGAACAATAAGGAAGGAAGGAAATAAGGATTAAGTGCCTACTATGTGCCAGTCCACAAAGACTACGAGCCAGTCATCCCAGATGTTCCATGGACCCTATATCTGGAACATCCTTATTCAAGCCAGGGTACTACTCACTTACCTCCTTCAGCTGCACTGAGCCCTGGCCAAGATTACAGAGACTGCCAGCCATAGCCCCTGCTCACTCATTCTTCAGCATCAGCCTCCTCTTCTGCCTGAGGGCCCATTCCTCATAGCTATCATAACCTCCTTCACTTTGGCACTCCTCCCACCATCACCCCTCAACTGAGCATCCTATGGCCTCCTTGGCTCTGATGCCCAGTATAGCACTTGTCAGCTAGGGTCATGTATTTATTCCACAACACTCAAGGATTACAGTAATGAGAGAGCAAAGTACTGACCTGTTTGACTTAATAAAGATATTAAAACCCTGGAAAAAAAGCTAGGTGCTTAAGAAATATTATTTGATCCTCATATCAGCTCTGGGATGTAGGTGCTATTGCTATCCTCATTTTACAGTTGAGGAAAACAGAAGTAGTGACTTGCCCAGGGTCATGTAGCTAGGAAATGTTGGAGGCCAAATTTAAACTCAGGTCTTTCTAACTTCAGGCCAAGTGCTCTACCTACTGCACTACCCAGCTACCTCTTCAACAACTTAAGTGTATCCTAGACAGAATTCATGCTGGGTACTAAGTAGATAACCTTCCAGGTCCCTTCCAAAACAAATTTCATTGGCTCTAAGTATGATTTCAACTGGGATGAAATCAGGGGCCATATTTTCAGTAATTCAAATCCTCTGAAGTATGAAGTTTCATACAAGTTTCAGATCAACATTAAGTGAAATACATTCTGGTGATAATGCCAGGACCTTGGCTATTGAAAAAGTTATGTGTTTATTCTACCTAGAAGACAAAAGCTTTTAAAATTCTCTTTCATAATGAAACAATGGATAGAATAATGACAACTTGCTATAGAGTGAATTGGTAAAAGAGGACCCACTAAAAAGTCATAGTCATGTCTGGATTAAAATATTCCTGACAAGGATGCTTTTAACCACCTGCAGAGAACTGCTATAATAAACATGGCAGAAAAACTATCTGAGTTTAGTGCACTGTCAAGCATATGTTTTAAGGCAGACAGAACATGAACACTGACTGTTCTTTGTCAAAGAAAGATTTGGGACACAGGAGCATATCTACACAAACTGCCTAAGACAAAGAGTCAGGATAAAAGGGAAATGGACATAATGGAGCCAGATTCAAGGGCCAAGGAAATAACCAAGCTAGTAACTTTAACTTCTCAACCTATCCTGAAAAGCTGCTGAAGATTATAAGGTACCAAGGTCTTCTGGTTCTGAAAATACAGTCTTTGGATACCTTTCTTTTTTGCAAATAATATTTTATTTTTCCCAATTGCATGTTAAAACAATTTTTAAATATTTTTTAAAGTTTTGAGCTCCAAATTCTATCCTTCCCTCCTCTCCCCCCTCCCTGAGAGGGTAAGCAAGCTAACATAGGTAATACATGTGCAATCATGTAAAACGTTTTGTGGATACCTTTCCTGAAGAAACTGAGAAGCATGGAAGTTGATTCTGTGAATTTTTCCTATGATGATCCCACATCCCCACTCATTCAGTGAGAACAGACCAGTTCTCACCCTAAGTTTCTTGTTCGGATGAGCCTTGAATTCCTCTAGCAAACTCATACTTGTCTGGTCTTAGAGGTCTGGTGACATCTTTGATACTCATGCTTCCCATCACCAGTAGCTTCTATCTTGTTGTAAATTTCTTCACAGGAGATGTGCCATGTCAGGATGGATAAGTATTGAAGCCCAGCTTGTCACCTGCAGTATTCTGTTAACATGAATAAACTACAGTTGACCTCAATCAATGCTGACACCCCAAAGATGTTCACCAGTTCTGGACCAGACACACATTGTTTACTTTTTTGCTGATACCCGCAACTCCTTAGGGAACTTTAATCTCTCACTGATATAGCCCAAATATGCTGGTCTTTCTCACTCAGACAACAGCTACCAAAGCTCCTGCCCTGGAGTTGAATTGCCTTTCAGGTGTTTCATAAGGTGACTAGAATATAGCTGTCACTTGAGAGACTTTATCCAGGCAATACTGCTATTACTTCCAGCAACCTTAATTCCAGCTTTTGATTCATCCAGCCTAGCATTTTGCATGATGTACTCTACATATAAGTTAAATAAATAAGGTGACAATATACAGCCTTATTATACTCCTTTTCCAATCTTAAACCAATCAGTTGTTCCGTGTTCAGTTCTAATTGTTACTTTTTGGCTGGCATACAGGTTCCTCAGGAGACAAGTAAGATAATCTGTTGGTCCCATCTCTGAAGACTTGCCACATTTTGTTGTGATTCACACAAAGGCTTTAGTGTAATCGATGAAGTCGAAGTAGATGTTTTTCTGGAACTCACTTGCTTTTTCCAAAGTCCAGTGAAGGTCAGCAATTTGGTCTCTAGTTCTTCTGCCTCTTTGAAAAACAGCCTGCTCTCCTGGTAATTCTCCATTCACATATTGCTAAAGCCTAGCTTGCTGCATGTAGGCATAACCTTGCTGGCTCATAAAATGAGTGAAATGTTCAGTAATTTGAACAATTCTTGGCATTGCCTTCTTTAGTATTGAGACAGAAACCAATTTTTTTCCAATCTAGTGGCCACTGTTATGTTTTCCAAATTTGCTGCATATTGAATGCGGCACTTTAAAAGCACCATCTCTTAGGGTTTTAAATAGCTCAGCTGGAACTCCATCACCTTCACTAGCCTTATTGTTAACAATGCTTCCTAAGGCCCACTTGACTTCATTCTCCAGGATGTCTGGCTCTAGATCAGTGTCACAATATTAGGAAACACCCTGTTTTCCAGAGCTGAAGGCCTAGCAAACCAGTTGTGCCCTGAGCTTGGCATAACAACAGTCCTTTGCACTTACCCTCTGGTTGATCTCAGCCACTGTAAAATACCAAAATTGTTTCTGGTCATGAAGCCCTGCTATGAATCAAACTTGTCATATTGTTGCTGTTACCCCTCATCGTCAGGGCTACAATTCACTGTGTAGCCATTGCATAAGTATTGAGATCTCCCCACACTGCCTAGTCTTCAACCCCACCTCCCACTAGGGGGTGCATTTTCACAGCTGTTGAGGTGAATCAAAATTCAGAAGACCTTGGTTTAATGCTACCAAAAAAGGAAATGAAACCTTTAAGGCATCTGTAATAGGAAATTACTTTTATAAAGCAGCAGCATTTCTATACCATTCCCCACAACCCCACACTCCTTCATTTCCTTTCTCTAGTAATAAAATTCAGATCCAGCTGAGGAAACCAGGTAGTGGCAACGGGAGATCTGCTTAATCAGACCAGGAGTGAGGAGGAGAAAAGCAAGAGAGGAAAGCCATGGAAAAGTTTCATTTTTTGTTGGACCTGCTCATCAGACACCACAGGGCCATGTCCAGGAGCTTCTTGAGCCTGCTGACAGCTGGTGGGCAGACCATCTTCTCCAAGATAGTGTTCCAATGCCCCTGTGACGATAAATTGAAAATACCCTATTCTTTTTTATTCTTATTTGTCCCAGCCCTGGTCCTCTTCCTTCTGGGCTACCTGCTGAGCTCTAAGGTAGAGCAGGTGGTGACTGGCTGCTGTGCCGGGGACCAACGAGGCACTCTTAAGAAGACAAAGATGTTCTGTAAGAAGGTGACATGCAGTCAAATGACCTTGGCTGCTCTCCTGGCGCCGTTCATCTGGATTGCAATGGCACTGCTGGAGGGTGGTTATTTTGTGTGTATGTGTGGCACCAAAGGAGCTTGTGTTGGGAGCGCAACTGTTTCGAGATGCCTTGCCAGAACACAAACTTCACAAACTCCGAGAACATCGTGGCTATATCTCAGGTAAAATCTCAGGGAGAAAGTAAAGTGATTCCTATTAGATGGGGTGGGGATAGGGGCAGAGAAAAGGAAATGGTTGGAGAGATAAGAGAGGATATAACTTGATTGGACAAAGAAACGCAGTGGAGCCCACAGAAGGTCCAAGTTGGAAATTAGAAACTTGTGATTTTTCAGAGGCTAATTAATGCCTTCATTTTTCTGCATATTTTACTTTGTAACTTCTTTCTAGGTAGACTGTATTCAACATAATGTGTAGACATTGTTCCTCTTCCCCCTCAACTTTAGTAGAAAGTAAGTTTCTAGACGTCAGGGATGATTTCATTTTTGTCTTTGTATACCCAGCACCATGCTTGGCACATTTTAGGAGCTTAAAAAAATGTTTGCTAGTTGACTGATTGATGGAACCGTTCTAAATCATCCGTCTTACAATGCCTTTCCTACCCTTCTTTAACCTGTTGAATTGCTACCTATTCTTTCAAAGTCAACTTAAAAGCTACCTCCTCAAGGAAGTCTGACATGGAAAAGAATGGATCTTTGTACCTCAGACTTTGTTTTGCACCTCTCTAATGTACTTATCATGTAATCTTGTGTATTAAAAAGGCCAGGTCAGTGGGAGCCCCACTCTCAGGCTTCAATGGAAGCCTGGTTACATGATTATTTGTGTTTGTGTCTCACCCTGGACAGGGACCATAACTCTTCTAAATTCTGTAGTTTCCAACAAGTTTAGCATACAACAGGTATTTAGTAAAGTAATCAACAAGCATTTATTAAACACTTGCTATGTTCCAAGATTTGTGCCAGGCAACGATGACACAAACACAAAAATAAAACAGATCTTGCCCTAATGGAACATCTGCTGATTGAATGAATGAGGTAAGTCCCAAGTTCCCCTAAAAGAAAGAATTGACAAGACTAGTTAGAGCTTATCCTTAGAATCCCATCCTTAGAATCTTCCTTCCATTATGCAAAACGATATTAAATCAAATGAAAGACTAGAATTAATAAGTCTAATGTTCTAGCCTACCTTTGCCTGGGTTATACTGAGTCCCACAACTGGTTAGGTTTTGAATTTCCATTGGGTTGTGTGGTTTAGGTCCTTTCCCTGGGGCCCTGCCATTCCTGGGAACATGATTGACTTTCCAAGTAAGCTGTTATTACCTGTGAGTGATAACATTACTGATCCCAATCTGAATTTAGCCCTTTTCACTTTTCAGGTTGTGGTTTCTCCAACCTCATGAAGAGTGAAAGAGTAATATCTATTTTTGGGGGAGAGATTTTTTTCTTTCTTACTTTGTTATTGTCATTATCATCATCTTCGTCGTTGTTGCTAAACTGTAACCCAGCTATGTCATGTTGGTCTCTTTTCCAAAGATGGTAGGTTGGGTACTGATAGCTGTTGTTATGGTTCTGTCCACGATGATCAAGTGCCATATCTGTTGCACACCTCAAGTTGGTTTTGATCAGCTCCAGTCCCAGGAAAACTACGAGAAAAAAGAAAATGAGACATCAATTGCTGAATCAAAGAAGTATCCTACTGACTTGATGGAAAGAAATGTCAAGTGCTTCTCAGAAAATATCCACCTAGGCAGTATGAGAATTCCAAGCACTGAGAAACTGGATGATATTTCACCATTGATTAAGCCTACTGATACAGAATATAGTATATTTGATCCTCAAAACTCTGTTTCTGATTGCAATTAAAGGGTTGAAGCAATTCTCCACAATACTACACCAAGGAAATGTCACCAACGATCCTAAACATGTGGATTTAAAGTTGGAAGGGACCTTATTTCACAAATTAAGCAACCAAGGCGCAAGGATTTTGATTTACATTTTGTACACAAATATTAATTTTGCTAATGAACTGGGGCCAAATCTTATCATAATTTTTCCTTTGGTAATGATATTATTTTTATATTTCATAGAATCATGAATGTTTCAGTTAGGAGGGACTTTAAGGAAATGGCAAACCACTCTAGTATCTTTACCAAGAAAACCCCAAATGGGGTCACAAAGAGTCAGATGTGATTCAACAACAGCAGCACTTATTTGTTTTGATGTCGTCTCCTCTTGCCATCCCACTCTCCACATTACTCTGTGAACTCTTTTCAAACAGAAACTTTTGGGTTTTGGGGTTTGCCTTTTTGTTTGTTTTTGGTTTTGCCTTTCTTTGTATCCTCAGCACATAGTTCCTGGAACATAGTAGATGCTTAATAAATGCTAGTTGATGGATTGACTAACTGAATGCTTTAAAATCCGGGATTTAGGAAAGGTACTAAGAGAGAGAAAGTAAAAGTGAACTCAGGGATCCAAAGTTTATAACAGAAATTTCTTATGAAATTTAGATGCTCAGAATGTAATGTCACATGTAAAGACAACAGGAGAGATTAAATAATAATAAGTAATAAGGAAGAGGATAATAAAAATCTAACATTTATATAGTACTGGACTGTAAAATATCTTAATTATCACTTTTTTATCTTTACAATGACTCTGGAATGTAGGTGCTGTTATTATCATCCTCATTTTATAGATAGGGAAACTGAGGCAGACAGAAGCTGAATTACTTACCCAGGGTAAAAACAACAACAACAACAACAACAAACTGATATGTCTGAGACTGTATTTGAATTCAGGTCTTAATGACTTCAGGTTCAGCACTTTATCCACTGTGCTACTTGCTGCCTCAGTGAATGAATGGAAGTCAAACCATATACATTAGAGTTAGCATATATTTTATTTTTTTATGAGGAGGAAGAATATATTCATAAATAAAGATCAACACAAATTTTAAAAACAAACAAAAATCTTGCACCTCTACAATATATACTCATTACTTCTGATTATTTCTGGTAGGTTAAACAGAATAAGTTTAATCTCTTTCCCGCATGGCAAGAGTATACATATTTGAAAGCAGCCATAATGCCCCCCATGTAGTCTTGGCTAATCAGTTGTAATTCTTTGATCTCTTTTTTTTTTCTTTTTCTTTTGTAGGCAATGGGGTTAAGTGACTTGCTCAAGGTCACACAGCTAGTAAGTGTCAAGTGTCTGAGGCTGGATTTGAACTCGGGTCCTCCTACCTCCAGGGCAGGTGCTCTAACCACTGCACCACCTTGCTGCCCCCAATTCTTTCATCTCACTATCTCCTTTTTTATATTTAATTTTTATTTTGATTGCAAGACACGCCAAAAAAAGAGAATTTCTACATATGAAATAGGAAACATAAAGAAGATTGTATATGTAACTGAATCTCTTTGCCATATTGATTGCCTTTTTAAAAAGTGTATATAATAAATTCACATGCTATTTCCAGAACTATCTTGCTTGTCTTCATTTCTTCCTGAATTTCATTCTGTTCTCCTCTGAGCATTTTTTCTTTTTTTTTTATTTAGTATTTTATTTTTCCCCAGTTACATGTAAAAACAATTTTAACATTCATTTTTAAAACTTCAGGTTCCAAATTCTCTCCCTTCCTCCTTCTCCACCCCTTCTCATTGAGAAGGCAAGCTATTTGATGTGGATTATGAATGTGCAGTCATGAAAAACACCTCCACAATAGTCATGTTGTGAAAAACTAACTGTATTTCCCTCCATCCTATTCACCCTCCCATTTATTGTATTCTCTCTCTCCTTTCACTTTGCCCCTCCTCAAAAGTGTTTTGCTTCTGACTACCCCCTCCCCCAAACTGTCATAACTTCTATCACACCCCCCACTTCTTTTACCCTGTTCCCCCTAACTTTCCTGTAGGGTAAGATAGATTTCTATACTCAATTGAGTGTGTATGTTATTACCTCTTTGAGTGAGTTCTTTTTTTTTTTTGGCTTTTTGGCAAGGCAGTTGGGGTTAAGCCCAGAGTCACACAGCTAGTCAGTATCATGTGTCTGAGGCTCGATTTGAACTCAAGTCCTCCTGACTCCAAGGCCAGAGCTCTACTGCACCACCTAGCTGCCCTTTGAGTCAGTTCTGATGAGAGTAAGGCTCGCTCACTCCCTCTCATCTTCTGCCCTCTTCCCCTCCACTGTAAAAGCTTTTTCTTGTCTCTTTTATGCGAGATAATTTACCCCATTCTACCTCTCCCTTTCTCTTTCTCCCAGTACATTCTTCACTCATCCCTTAATTTTATTTTTAGATATCATCCCTTCATATTCAACTCACATCTGTGCCCTCTATCTATGTATACTCCTTCTAACTACCCTAATAATGAGAAAGGTCTTATGAGTTATAAATATCATCTTTCCATGTAAGAATACAAACAGTTTAACTTTAATAAGTCCCTTACGATTTCTCTTTCCTGTTTACCTTTTCATGCTTCTCTTAAGTCTTGTATTTGAAAGTCAAATGTTCTATTTAGTTCTGGGTTTTTTTTTCTCAAGAATGCTTGAAATTCCTCTATCTCTTTGAATATCCATTTTTTCTATCATGAATTATACTCGGTTTTGCTGGGTACGTGATTGTTGGTTGTAATCCTAGCTCTTTTGACCTCCAGAATATCATATTCCAAGCCCTCAGATCCTTTAATGCAGAAGCATAACCTTGTGTTATCCTAATCGAGGTTCCACCATACTTGAATTGTTTTTTTCTGACTGCTTGCAATATTTTCTCCTTGACCTGGAAATTCTGAAATTTGGCTATAATATTCCTGGCAGTTTTCATTTTTGGATCTTGTTCAGGGGGTGATCAGTGGATTCTTTCAATTTCTATTTTACCCTCTGGTTCTACAATATCATGGCAGTTTTGTTCAATAGTTTCTTGAAAGATGATGTCTAGGCTCTTTTTTTGGGGTAGTCCAATAATTTTTAAATTATCTCTCCTGGATCTATTTTCTAGGTCAGTTGTTTTTCCAGTGAGATATTTCACATTGTCTTCCATTTTTTCATTTTTTTGGTTTTCTTTTATGATTTCTTGATTTCTTATAAAGTCATTAGCTTCCATTTGCTCCATTCTAATTTTTAAGTAAGTATTTTCTTCAGTGAGCTTTTGGACCTCCTTTTCCATTTGGCCAGTTCTGATTTTTAAGGCATTCTTCTCCTCATTGGCTTTTTGGACCTCTTTTGCCATTTGGGTTAGTTTGTTTTTTAAGGTGTTATTTTCTTCAGTATTTTTTGGGTCTCCTTTAGCAAGCTGTTGAATTGTTTTTCATGATTTTCTTGCATCAGTCTCATTTCTTTTCCCAACTTTTCCTCTACTTCTCTTACTTGCTTCTCAAAATCCTTTTGAGCTCTTCCATGGCCTGGGGCTGATTTATATTTTTTTGGAGGCTTTGGATGTAGGAGCTTTGACTTTGTTGTCTTCTTCTGGTTGTATGTTTTCATCTTCTTTGTCACCAAAGTAAGATTCCATGGTCTGACTTTTTTTGAGCTGCTTACTCGTGATCCCAGCCAATTACTTGAATTTTAAACTCTTTGTTAAGGTAGGGGTCTGCTTCCAGTGTGGAGAATGTACTGTCCCAAACTTTGGAGGTTTTGTGCAGCTGTTTTCAGAGATACTTCTAGGGACTTGTACATTTTCAGTTCTTCCAAGGTGGTATGATCAAGGGTGAGGTACTTCCTCATTTCCTGGCCTGGGCTCTGGTCCTTGAGTGACCACAAGGACTCTTTTCTGTCTTGGATGTGAGGAGGATTCTCTCTCCACTGCCACCAGCTCCACCACACCAGCACTCCTCCTCGCCCCATGACCACCACCCAGAACTGTGACCCAGATATAAGCACAGGCAAAGCAAGAGTATCCTGCCTCAGTACCAGCAAAGAGATCCCTGCAATCCTGCTCTGATCTGTCACTCGATTTCCCCTCCATCTTTGGGTCAAGAGCTCCAAAAGCAGCCACAGCCCCGGGGTTGTGCTGGGACTGGGGCCAGATCAAGCTCCTCTCTCACTGAGGTCAGACACATCTTTCCCATTGACCTTCTAAGTTGTCTTTGGTGTTTGTGGGTTGAGAAGTATGGAAACTGCCAAGGCTCCCCTTGATTCAATCTCCTGAGGACTGCTCCAGGTTCACTGAGGCCTGGCACAGTCCACACCAGACTGTGCTCCTCTCCCAGCCCAACGAAATAGACCTTTTCAATCAACCATCCAGGTTGTCTTGAGCTGAAAATTTGTTTCACTCTGCCTTTTTGTGACTTGACTTATGATTTTGTGACTTGACTCTAGAAGGCAATCCCACAGATAGAAGGGATGGAGAACCATCTGGGAGAAACACCAAGGAGGCTAGTATGGCAGGTCTATAGAGTGTGCTGAATTCTATGAGGACTGCTTGCTAACTTACTGGAGCTTAATGGTCATAGAAAAACATGGATAGACTTGCAAGAAATAATGGAGAGCAAAATGAGCAGAACCAAGAGAACATTGTATATAGTAACAGCAATATTGTTTTAACAACTTTGAGGGACTAAGTCATTTTGACTATTATGAATACCTAAATTAACTACAAAGGACCTATGAAGGAAGATGCTATCTGCATCCAGAGAAAGAACTGATAAGTAGAAGTGTGTATAGAATGATTGTACATATATGTATTTGTGTATATACATGCACACACATGTGTATATATATGTGTATATATGTACATATACATATACACATATACATGTTTGTGTCTAATGGTATCTATCTGTAAGGCAAGGGGGAGAGGGAAGAAAAAGCAGGAAAAAAAGAAAGTTACATGATAACTTTGTTGTGTATTTAAAAGGAATAGCTTGCAATCATCCTTTTTTTGAATTCTACTGTGTTTTGGAAATGCTTATTTCTTAAATTCAGAATAAAAAAGTAAAAATTTTTAAAAAGAGAAAAGATAAAGCTATTAAATAATGTGGAAAAAGAAGTTTGAAGGACAGGGAGGGGGCAGCTAATAAAAAACTACAAATATCTAACAATGAGTTTTATTAGTTGCTTTTTTTTTAGGTATTCAAACTGGGATGGGTATAAGAGAGCAGGAGGGGAGGATAACATGAGGGAGGGAAAAATCTGTAAGTAAAACAAACTTCCTGAACCTAAAGGAGACAATTCCTTAGACTGCCTTCTAGAAAACTGAGGAAATTACTAAACAAATTGTGGTTTATGCAAGTAATCAAATATTATTTCTGGTTCAACAAGCTATAGTCCAAGACTCTGTGGTGTTTGTTGCATAGGCCCAGCAGGTGCTATTAACTTCTCCTCTCCACCCCTAGACCTCAGGAGCTGTTGCAGGGAGCACCAGCTACTTCTGCCTGGTTTCCTCTGTTGCCTCCAAATTGGTAGAAAAAAAGAAGAGGTTGTATTGGGGGAGGGAGTTGTAAGGGAATTTCCAATTCTTGCAAAACATTGCTGTGTTTAGCAGAAGAGGCTTTATTTATTTTTACTTTCTAATCTGGTGAGCTTCATTTCAAACCACACAGGCCCAAGAAAACAATGTGACCCTGGACAAGTTACTTAACCTAGCTGTTCCAAGAAAACAGAAGCAATCCTTTTTATTCCTCCTTCTTATGAAACCCTAAACCCTGCTACTGAGGTAATTAGAACTTTTGTTCTTCTGCAAAAAGGAAGTAGTATAAATGCTTTGGTCATTTCCTCCCT